TTAAAAAAAAAAAAAAGTAGCAACCTGTTGACAAATTGAACAAAACCACAACGTTTGCCTACAGGTATCTTCACATGAACCAACTCCCCAAATTGGCTGAAGACTTGTCTCAAATGATCATCAGTAACATTAGAATCCAACCCACCAACGAATATCTGCAGTCACAATTTTGGTAAGCCAGACATGCAGCATAAAAGATCATGTCYACATCTAAAACAGAACAAAGTACCCACAGTTGTATTATTTGGATCATTCTCGTTCTGTGTTCCTTGAGTGTTCTGGTAAGGAGCTGCAAATAACAAATACAGGTGAAAAGAAGGGAAAGAGAGTAACTAAGCAGCATATGGTGCCTAATCAGGATAAATATAATTGGGGATAGAATACCAGACCACAATAACCTATTGTGACTGTAAGTTTTCCTGATAATGGCATTTATGAACAATTCTATAGAAAAGGAAAGGAAATGTCCATGAAGATGGTCTACATGTAGTATAATTTCCCTACTGCTGTGGAGTTTTGTAATGCCACTATACTATTGATTATGTGAATGAAAAAATAAGCACATAAACAAACCAAGCATAGCGATGTGCAWGCTCAGAATCTTGAATTTTACCGTCACCTTRGTAGAAAACAAAATAATACAGAACMAATAAAGAATGGTACATCACCTAAATGCTTTAGTCTCCACCTTCTACTGCAAAACATTGTCACCTTCGCTATAAWTTTTTYATTGCTGGTGTGCATATGTAGAATCCTTCTCACGGGTCATGCATGGTTAACTACATCTGGGGATGCCTCTCCAGAATTATGTATCAATTTCCAGGCTATGTAAATTACCATAACATTTTTAATCCGWGAAAGCATAAACTTGAGTGTAACATTCAATGTAGAAGTGCTCCATCCTCCCAGGTTSTGGTCATCAGAGAACAGGAAAAAGCTTGCATGAAGTGCCCTTCATGCCAATAGTAAAACATCAWATCTTCACTTGGCTAACAAAGCCACTACATCTATTTTTTTTCCCATAAATAGATCCATATGTTTTATAATCCTATCCACATATTTATAGTAAGTAATAAAACCATTCTATATAAAAGCTTCAGGACACTTCACTTTTAACCACCCTGATTCTTAACAGTGAGAAGCAATTCCCAGTGACATAGCTAGAAGACTACTCTATCCTACTACTCTAAAGTGTTAAACAATTCCTAGAGATGCAGCTCTAAACTTAACCTACCCAGGTGCTCACAGACCTACAGATTATAGACTGAAAAATAAGGTTAAAAGACCTTACTWCAGAATCACAGGTTCATGGCATCATGGAGATGYAGTACTGTGTTGGCAGACACTTGCAAGTCATATTAATAATAGAAACCCAGCACCKGTAGCCTCTTCAAAGCCTTGTACATGAAGATAGAAGGTTAAGGGTAATGAAGCATTTCAGCTGGAAAATAATCAAAACTTAAAATATTAGTTCCGGTTCGCCTACCCTCCAATATATTAGTTACAGTCTGCCTACCCTAAGGTAACTCTACTCCAGTGTGTTGGCAGACACTTGTAAGTCATAATAATAATAATAGAAACCCAACACCTGTGACTTCAAAGGATTGTATATGAAGATAGAAGGTTAAGGGTAATGAAGCATTGCCAGCTGGAAAATAATCAAAACTAAAAATAGATCAAACTAACTAGCATTACATAATACATATAACAAAACTTAATCTTTCATTTTTCCCATAATATAAATGGTATCATTTCCATAGGAAGAAAATGGACCAAAGTGCTACCAGTTCCTACCCAACTGTCTATGACATCCAAAATCTAAAGGAAAGAACAAACAACCAGAAAATGTAAAAAGAGAATAAATGTAAAGTGGTAAAATAACTGAGATAACAGGAACATATTCTCAAAGTATGGTTACAGATACTTGTACTAGATGGCATGGCTATAACAAATGCAGCTTAAGATTTAGACTGCATATGGTTTCTGAGAAAATTGAAAAAAAAAAGGAAAAGAAAGCTGTGGGGAAATATTTATTTTACAAAATCCCTTCTTAAGAAATTCCAAACAACATTCTTTTTCTAACCACAGCCTTAAYGGATCACCATCCAGAATATGAACCAATGATGGTTATCATACCAACCTTGCAGCCCACCGGCTTCCAATGTCCTATGCACTYGAATGTTCCAGGCATTAAAAAAACTCCAACAACCAAGCATGTATAATTGGTGCATAAATTCCAATAGACATTTTTTATATCAGGAATAGCTGACCAACTTATATTAGCATATACTACCTCATTTTTACCCATTTAATTCCAAATTCAAGAGAAAATGGACATTCTGGCAAACAGGGTACTAGATTGCAAGCAGGGAAAGAGAGACATAGAGATCATGTGTTTATAATTTGATGACAGAAACTGCAGATTGAAGTAGGGATTCAAACAGATCTGCAGCTACATCGACATCCCCGTTCATATTGGATAGTTATTTACTTAAACTAACCTAATCCCCAAGTGCCCAAATGCAGTTGGATATCACCATAACACTTGACAGTCCAGCAAGRTAAACAAGCTAGAACTAATAATCAGATGTCACATTTCCATCCTAACTGGAAATGTCTTTGTAAAATTAACAATTGAAAAAGAAATGGGGAAGGCAACCTAATGTARAAAGGATAACAATGAGTTGCAAATGACACAAGATGTCCTAGGCATGGGAGGAGCTAAAGAATACCATGGCAACATTAAAACAACTTAAAGAGTGGCAGRCTGCTAAACACAGCTCTATACATCAGGAGTTGAAAGCACCAATARTTGCTATTTCAAATTAAAGAAAAGTRCAGTTTTGTCCTCCTATGGAATGAAAAATTGGAAATGTGAATCAGAACTGAGCATGGGGTAACAAAGAAAAGAAACCAACTTCAACAATTATACCATAAWGGYGTAAAAGGATCTGATTCACAAGGAACTAAAGTATTGATTCTACTGAGTGAATGTACCAAAAAAGCAAAAAAAAGGAACTACCAAAACAATAAAATTTTGGAACAGCGGACRAAATGTAAACTGGCTGACAGGCCTTTAAATATAAGGTAACTGGTAAAAGTAAATTGAGAATGTAGCAAAGTGCCACATAAATGTGAAATWAAGGACAAAATTGATGACATAAACAGAAAAAAACTGACCTAGACGAGGCCACGCACTAAAGGGGAATCATTTCGGCTGAAATCAGTTCCAGGCCCCTACATGAGAGAGCCTCTCGGCATCCTGCTTTGAGACAACATGAGTTYTATAAGTGTTTGCAAGTTTCAATTGCATTAAATGTGCCCAATTGTACAAAGGAAAGAACTGGAAGGAAATGACTTGTAAGCTTCTGCTTATCTTCAAGTTCATAACTGAAGGAGAAACAAACTTAAGAACAGCATGTCATAATAATGCCTCAAGAAAGGTTAAAGCATACATCCCATGCTTGAGAGAAAAGCTAACACAAAACAAAAGGATACAAAATAAACAACATTTGTTTTTAGAACATTAGTTTTCATAAGAAATAAGCATCTACCCTATAATGATTTTACATTTTAGTACTAAATAGCAGACAATGAAAAAAAAGGATAACAAGAGTAACAGTATAAAAGTCAAGTGCATACCTTTCGAATATTGCTGACCACCTACATTCTTCTTTGTAGTAGCAGGACCAATGCGCATGGGCCGTGTTGAACAGAAAATTCCATTCATTTCAGTCATAGCACGTATCTGTTCACTTTCATCCCCAAATCTAACAAACCCGTATCCCTTTGAACGTCCAGTAGTTCTATCAGTTACAACCTTCGCACCCTTCACAGAAGGATAGTGACTCCTGAATGTCTCTTGTAACATGTAGTCTGTGACATCAGAAGCTAGATCACCAACAAAAATTGTAAAGTCAGCGCTGTCATCCGGACGCCTCTCACCCAAACCAAAAGAAGCCCAGTTCAGCCTAAAGTTCTGCTCAGCATTGGGCATTAGTGTGCCATTGTAAGTTTGTAAGATCCTTTCAGCTGCAGGACGAGTTACAAACTCAATGAAACCATAACCCTCTGATTGACCGGTTTGTTTATTGCGGATCACTTTCACAGAAGCAACCTATAAACAGAAACAAATATAACAATCAAACTGAGAGTGTCTGAGAAACAAATAACAACTTAATAAATCAGAAAAGCAAACAATTATAATTTAATACACAAGGAATGCACATAAAAAATAATATTACAGACTAGCATAACTGCTCGATCCTTCCTGAATTCTGATAAAGGCAGCAGAGCACCAAAAAATACAAAGTGCATAAATATCTTATAGAACCAAAGGCACTTTCAAGAATTATTCACAGTCACAATGCATTTATGACTATCAATAAAGGGTAAATCTATGACGCCCGAAAGATATGATTGGTTAGAACTTTTATCAGACTGATCAATTGGTTATAAGCATTTTAAATATCATGCCTTTCTGGCATTGTAGTTGGACACTTGGACCCATTGGTACAAAATAATGTGTTTATAACCCAGTTCCATTAAGAAAACATTCAGAATAGACATTAAATGAGAACCTCATTCCTCTTCAGCTATTCCAATAAAACAACAGTGCAGAGGAGAAGCAAATAAATGTAACAAATATTAACAACAAAATAATAGTGCACAATGATGGCCAGAAAAAAATGTCAATGTCCCACAATATCGGCCAAATAACTCAAGTAGTTGACCATGGCCGGGATAATGTAGCCAATATTTCATTCATAAAACACTTTCCCCTTCCCAATGAATCCCTGAACCTTTATGGCCTTGCTGTCCACTCATCCTGAAGAAATAGAAGTTACTCTATGAGCAATGAAGTATACCTTGCCCTTGTGGTGTTTTGGTATTCCATACAAGCAAAGACATGATAACTCCACCACACAGACACACACAGGAGAGAGTGGGGGGATTGTGGTATTTTTTATTGTTGATGGGCAAATAACTGATAAGACAATTAATACAACAATATCATCGTTTTCTGCCACGAAATCATCAACTATACAAGCCGAGGTTGCTCAAAATCCTGTTCGTAGCAAACCCAAGTGAATTTTTTATGTTTTTGTGCCTACGTATTAAAGGAAAGAAAACACTGCTTAAGATCAAACGAATAGCTCGTGACATATGAAGCACCTGAATGATCCCAATTCCCAAACTAAATGCAACTTTTAGAACTTAATCGTGCAAGAAAATATATCAACAAATAAAGAAAACAACGTATAACGGGAAGAGCATTGAAAAAAAGCTTGTTACCTCGCCCGTGTGAGCGAAACAGCTGTGGATATAGCTCTCCTCCATCCAGTACTGCAAGTCTCCGATCCAAAGCGTGCGGACCTCGTCTGCGCTTGTAGGTTGTGTAGGTGGATACTGATGCTGTGGCTGCGGCTGCGGCTGCTGTGCTTGGGGCTGAGGTTGCTGGGGTGGCACTTGCGGCTGTTGCACTTGAGGGGGCTGCTGGTTCCACACTGGAGGGGGTTGAGGCTGAAGAGGCTGCTGTGGTGGCATCATCATCCACTGCTGTTGCGGCGGTGGTTGTTGCTGCGGATGCTGCTGGTGCTGTTGATCCATTTGTGGAGGAACCATCGGTGGTGGAACAACGCCTGTTGCAGGTTGCATCATCTTCGGAAAAACCCTAAGCGATGATAGATATCGAAAAGAACCCTAACCCTAACCCACTGCCAGATATAGAAATCCGAGCACTAGATAGAGCCCTATCAGTCCAAAAACCTCTACAGACTGTAGGGATAACTGGATTGAAATATGTAATCTTGATAAAAAGAAGTTGAAAGAAAAACGACGGAGTAATAAGAACCAACCCTGTAAAGAAAAACAAGGATGATAAACAATAGGTAAGGTTGTACCCCTTACCCTACAACAAGAGACTAATGAGAGACGATGGATTGGGATCAGAGAAACCCTAACCCTAGAAAGGTTTTCTGAGAGAAGGTCCTTTGAGAAGTGATACTGGTTTTAAATGTACAGGCAGGCCGACAGGGGGGAATGGAGATTACGATAGAGTTGGACTATGATGCCGAAAAAACTTGTAACCAATCAGCCGGTATCGTACAAGTGGTAACCAATCATATGATCTTTTATCAAATTGATAAGGGTTTTGATTGGTCAAACTGTCAAAGCCTTTACACGGTATCATATCTTTCCGGCAGCATTCAAAAGAAATAGTTGTACTCGTGACCCTGTGAGGCTGTGACCCGTGACTCGTTAGGAATACGATCGGAACCGGGTCGGATTCGAATCGGGCCAATATTTCGGTTCGAATCGTCCTTTTTGGGTTGGGTTGGCAAAGCTTTGCTCTAACTTTTAACCCTATATTTCCTTTTTTTTTTTTAAGAAACTTCTAACCCCTAAATTTCGGTTAGGGTTGATTGACCTGTCAGATGCAAATGGTTCAATCGCTTAGGTCAATGGCCTTTGACCAAAACAACATTTTTTAATCAATAAGACGGGTTTAATTGTCATATTCAAATGGTTTGAATGGTTTAACCACCTACATCAACACCAATTTAAAAAAAAAAAATCTGAAAAATAGGTGACCCCAACTTGACCCAACCCAATTTCTTTTCGGGTTCGATCAGGTTGTGTCATACCGCCTTAGACCCTTGTCCACTTTTTTCAAGTAAAATTATACAAGTTGACCCCTTAACAAAAAAATTGTATTTGTAAATATAATAAAATTTTGATTTTGCTAAGGATAATATTGATATATTCATTGAATGAGAAATAAAAACAATTAGAGAACATCTCTTCAAAATAAAACCTCTTTTTTCTCCTCTCCTCCCTTCCTCTCGCCGATGCGTTGTTGTTATATATGAAGACGTGTCTAAATAGAGATATAAGAATTAGGGCTGTTCAACAAAAATTGAGAAATCGAATAAAAAAAATATATGATTAATTAAGGCGGTGTTTGAAAGTGTGGTAAAACCATGATATATTGGGTTTCAAATCACATGACCCCTTATTCAATCGTTTCGGTTGTGGTGTGGCATTGTTTGAACCTCATCATATCGTGGTAAAACCATGTTTGAACCGCATTAATTAAGGCGGTCTCTATCCTTGCTCCTCTCATTCTTTTTTTATTCTTCTTACACACTTATACAATATTAATCAGACCGTATAAAAGAACATAAGACCAATCAATTGTACAATCAAGTTATAAACTTCTATCAAGTTGGTGTGAATTTTATAGCCAAGAGTTTTTGTGAGTTTTTATCAAATTGAGCTAAGGATGTTAGAACCATACCAAGTTGGTCTTATGTTTAATACGATCTGGTTAATACCATATAAGTGCATAAGAAAAGAAAAAAAAAAGAACAAGAAAGGAAACAGGAGAGAAAAAGAGATTAATTGAAAAACATAATGAAGTAGATTGAGGGAGAATTGTAGATTGACAAAGAGGGAGAGATTGATAGAGAGATTGTAAAACCTTTTTTCAAATCACATAGTCATTGAGTAGAGAGACAACTATGAGAGTGAGAGAGTGGGAGGGAGATTGAAAGATAGAGGAAGAAACTGAAAAACCTTTTTTATTTTCAAATAACCCAGCATTAAGGGCAATTTCAATATAGGCATTTTGTTGTGCCTAACATGGATTAAGAGTTCCATGTTGGCAACAACCACATAAACCTCCAATGACATGGCGGAGGTTTTTATAATTTGAAACGTATAGCCACATAAATCAACTTGCAGCATCATTTTAAATGTTGATTTGGCTCAAACTATAATTTCCCAAAAAATATTACTCTTGATCGATGACGTAGATCACCTCACATTGTGTATATGAGATAAACATAATCAAAATACAGGGTGTGGCTTGAACCACACAACACCTTGTAGAACACCTATATAAGTGTGGTGTGGTCGAGACTACCAAATTTTAACCATGGTATTGAATGCTTATTTTGCTATAGCATGGTGTGGTTGAGAATACACCTCCTAATTTCTCGACCACACTACAAAACACCTTGTAAATCGAATGGCTCAGTATCAGTTCAGTATTTTTTCAAAAAACTGATGGTATCAATTCAACTTTAGTTATCCTAAAAGAAAAACCAATAGTTAACCAAACTAATTAGTATACGTACATACATACATACATACATATATGCATACATAAATTTATATGTGTTATATATACTAACGGAGACCCGTGTGATGCACGRGATGTTTTTTAAAAATAAAATATATTATTAAGAGAAAAAATGAAGTAACATTGATTCACCAAAGTTTTTATATATTTRTAGTTCTTTACATATAGAAAAATAATATTCTTTGCCTTTTTAGTTATTGAGCTTCAAACTTATTCCTTTTTACATAGCCAAAGAATGTGCTTAACATGAGATCAATAACCAATTTAAAAAACAATTTCAAGTTTCAACTGACGAAGATAACCAAAGGTTCATGTTAAGTGATTTTTATTGTTGAACAAGAAAAATCCATGAAACAAATATACATCAAATTAATAAAAGAATAGCGAAAAACCTAATAACCCATGGAAAGGAAAAATGGTTTTTTTAGACTTTTATATAAGAAGAATGTTGGTTCACCTCATGTATTGGTAGGCAAATTTGGGCCAAAAATAGGGTTCATATTTAGGTTGGCCCTCAACTTAACATAATCCATATAGTTAACACCCCTACATTATTAGATAGAGCCAAGAGGGATTAAAGAGATTTAGGAGTAAAAGAGGGATTTAATGGGAAGGGTAAATGTTACAAACATTGACTATTAAAGCGAGAGAGAGAGAGGGGGGGGGGGTGAGAGAGAGTAATGGTGTTATTTAGTTTTGCCTTTTTATATTTTTAATGATTTCATTTAAAAATAAATATATACATGTGCGAGAAAGGAGAATAAGAGGAGGCACATATGAGCTCTAGCAGTGATTCGTGCAATGTATAGGGTGTTGTATTTCTTCTTTTTTATCTGTAGAATAGTAGAAAAAAATCCTTTTATTTTTAGTTACTGAGCTTTAAAGTTTCCTTTTTATATACCTTATATATTATGAGGAGCACATAAACCAACTAACGATGGCATATAACTCCAAAAAATCCGGCCTTTAGCAACAGGAACTTGTTACAGTTAAAATGATTGTTGCCAAAGAAAAATTTTATCAAGACTTGATCAATATTGTTGCCAAATTAAATGAATTGACAATAAGGGTTACTCAACTGTTGCTCATTGAATATCCAACTGTTACTAAAGCAATGAATTGGAAATACGGGGTATCACTCGTTGCTACTTCTATCTCCAACTGTTACTAAATCAATGTATTAATAACAAAGGTTAATCAATTGTTGGTAATTACATTTCGGTTGTTGTTAATTTCGTTGAACCTTTGGCAACAATCATAGAAAATCATAATTATAGACACATTTAACACATTAATAAATAGATTAAAGAACAGAAGCTTACTTTAATGGATACGATTTAACACTCAAGTCCATGATAGCCCAAAAAAAATGCCTCAAAAAAACATATTTTATATTATGGATCAAGTTTGTTAAATTTTGGCTTAATTCAAACTTGACAAGGTCGACAATATCAAATTTGATTTGACTATGGAGTAATTAATCAAGATAGGGCCATCCTATAACATCATAATTAAGAACAGAATACGAAAACTAAAGAAAGCTATGTAAAAATTATTATTAAATATTTAAAGTGATAGAGATGTTTGAAAATATATAAAAATACTAATGAAAAGAATAAAACATGGTGTTTTCAGTTTTAGCTTTTTATGACATAAATGTAATTTCTTCTTTTTAGAGGTTGACTATGATACCAGAAAAAATTGCAACAATTAACCAGTATAAATTCTTTCCACATTACAAAAGAATTGACTTTTGGCAACAATAATGTTTTAAAATCATCTTGGAGCTGAACCATTTTTGCCTCCAAGTTACGGGTCACTAGTTTGATCATCCGAGTCGAACGGGTCAATTTGTTATACATCATCATATTTATATATGTATAAACATGTACTATGTCAATAAAATCATGTATAATCATCTTCTATGTATGTCTAATTTACATTTTTATTTCAGTTATTAATTTTTTTATTTTTAAAAAGGTTAAAAATTGGGATTTGATTGCCAAAAATAGGATTTTTTTTTTGTAAAAATAGTGGGGCAAGGTGCCTTTGGCCCTTTGAACACGTAGATCTCAAATGTTACCCAAAATTAATATAAAGATCACCTTAATTAGACAATTGAGTACAAAGTTATGGCCTCTAAAAATTTGTATATATATTTAAGAGAAATGGACTTAGATCATGGATGTGTGATGGTTTGAATGGTTCAACCATTCAAGTCAGTGGTTGGTTGAAAACATGGATAATTGTTGCTTGACCACAACTATAAGCAGTTATTGCCAAAAAAAAAATAATTGTCAAAAATTGAACATAACTATTACTAAACCAATGAATTGGGCTAAACCTAGCAAAATGTTGACCTAAATTGAAAAAAGCAAGTTAGGGTCTCCCTAAAAAATGTGGGTTAGGCTCCCTTATGCAATGACCCGAACAAGAAGTCAATGTGACTAGACCTAACCTTAAAAGAATTTGGGTTAGGTTGGGCCAAACCATGGGCCACCTATTTTTCGTACCAACATTTTCAAATTGATATTAACTTGGATGGTTGAACCATTCAAATCATTTGAATTAAATGATTAAACCTGTATTTTTTGTAAAAGCGATAATTTGGTCAAACATTAGCTGACCCGAGTGGTTGAACCATTGACCTATTTGACCCATGGGTCAACCCTAAACTAAATATTAGGGTGATGGTCCAACATTTATTGACTTAACCCCAACAACCAACCCGACCCGAAAATGCACTAACCTGATTCAAACCGGCCTGACCTGGTTTTAGGTCATAAGAAAAACCGATGCTATATCTTTAGTTTTTTTGTTGTCATATTAGGGCTGTACTCAAATCGGATGCAGCAA